TCAATATCCATCAGAATGGCATTTGATGTTTGTACAGACCTCAGAGAATACACATGAAATTTTCATTCTCAATTGGGAAGTAACACAACACACACAGTAAGAGCATTTTAATATGAGACTTCCTCCTAGTTCCACATTTATTTTTTATTTATTTATTTATGGTTTTTCAAGAGAGGGTTTCTAAGAGTAGCCTTGTCTGTCCTGGACCTTGATCTGTAGACCAGGCTGGACTTGAACTCATAGAGATCCACCCGCCTCTGCCTAAGTGCTGGGATTAAAGGGGTGCACCACCACCTCCCAGCCCATTACATCTTAATTGTATAACCTTAAGCACACTATTTCTCTGGAGATGGCTTCTTCATCTATTAGCTATTAACCCCACCAGATATGAAATCTTTTATTGCCATGATCTTAGAATTCCCAGCCTCCAGAGCTATTAGGATTAAATATTTGTTGTTCACAATCTACCCAGCATACAGCGTTTTGTTACAGCAAAGCAAATGAACTAAAGTGTGTTCCATTCCCATTTGACTTCATGCTTTCTTCCCATTTTCCCTACCAGGCACATTCTCTCCTCAGCTTTTTAAAAACCTGGCTGACATCTTCTCAACCTCAGCTCTTTGTTTTGGATGACGAAAGTCTTTCCTTCCCCAACTTCCTTAACTACTTTCTCTCTTAATTACTTCTCTCTTGGTCACTCTCCACTTAGGCTAGCTGCACTTGTCACTTCTTGAAATCATATTCTTTATTTGTTCATCTGTCTACTGTCTATTTCCTTCCATGGGAATATAAATTCCAACATGTCTAGGCTGGTGTCTGGTTGCTATGTTTGAAAAATGTCTGCCACAAAGTTGCTTTATGAAACATTTGTATTTACCCAATAAAATATTTAGTTAATAAAACACTTTCAAAATAATGAATTTTGATTAAACAAAGCTGTTTCTGTAGTGAGGTGAAAGCAATTCTGAAGAGAACTAAAAAAATGAATAAGTATTAAAAATCAAAATATAAAATGTAAGCTTTTAGTCATCATAATTGCAAGAGTCAAAGAGGCAGAATAAAAGAGGAAGACTAAGGTTGTAGCCAGTACACTGCCAAAAGGAAAAAAGCATACTTCATTCTTTTGAAGAGACTCCTTTCAGAATCAAACAAATACTGGGTCTCTCAAGAAATGCAAGTAATAGCTGAGCATCCTTAATCTAAAAATTCAAAATTGAAATCCTCCCGATTCCAAAATTTTCTGAGAAACAACACGATGATCCAAATGGAAAATTCCATTCCTGACCTCACTAGAGTGGCCAAAGTAAAAACCCAGTGCCCCAAAAGTTACATAAAATGACCTTCAAGCTTTGTACTTAAGGTTCATATGAAACACAAACGCATTTCCTGTTTATATTTGTCTCCCATCCCTGGGGTGTATCATGTACATGCAATATCCTAAGTCCTCAAACTCTGAAATGGCAACACTTCTGATCTTAAGCATTCCTGATGAGTGATGCCTAACCTGCATACACAAACCACTTCAATATTTGCCTAAAAGCCAGGGCCAGTAAGAAGACTTAACTGATAAAGGCATGTGTGCCTGAGCCTGATGACTGAGTTTGATCCCCAGAACTCATATAGTGAAAGGACAGAACCAGCTCTCACAAGTTGTCCTCTGGCTCCCACATGTGCACTGTGGCATGTGCATGCCCTAGCAAGCAAGTAGACAGGCGGGCGCGCGCACATGCACACGCACACGCACACGCACACACACACACACACACACACACACACACAAAATGATTTTTTTTTTAAGAAAAGGAATTCCCTAAAGTCTTTGCAAGTGATGATGCCTTATAGAAAAAGAAAAAATTAAGATGTAAATTAATGTTGACTAGTGAAGGGGGAAAAGGGTGAAGAACATGAGATCCAGGTAAAGAATATGTTCTATACTCTGACACAAGAGTAAGGAAAGCAAAAATAAGTGAAATTTTAAACAAGGGGTAAAAAAATCTGAGAAATTTCATATCTAGTGGGACTTGAATTTTTTTCAGTGAAATAGAAGTTAACATTATGTTTAAAAATATCATCAAATGGGGGCTGGAGAGATGGCTCAGAGGTTAAGAACACTGGCTGATCTTCCAGAGGTCCCGAGTTCAAGTCCCAGCAACCACATGGTGGCTCACAACCATCTCTAATGAGATCTGGCCCTCTTCTGGCATGCAGGCATACATGCAAGCAGAACACTGTATACATAATAAACAAATAAACCTTTAGAAAAAATGTATCATCAAATGGTTGGCAAGGAAAAGGAGACATATAGGATCAAGACACAACAAGGTATGTGTGTGAAATGTCATCATGAGACAGACTATTTTGTATCTAACTTTAAAAAATTAGTTAAAAATGATTCATCAGGGTCAAAAAAGTACTTACAAGTATGAGGGCCAGAGTTCAGATCATAGAAGTCATATAAAAAAGACTAGGCACAGCAGTGTCTGCAATCCTAGTACTGGAGAAGCAATGGACAAGAGGCTCACTGGGACTTGCTGTTCAGCCAGACCACTAAATTGACCAGCTCCAGGCGCAGTGAAAGGCATTACCTCAACAACTGGGTAGAGAGGGATTAGGGAAAAAAACCCTTGTCAACTGTGACCTCCACACACATGTATATACATGCATATTACAAACACACAAGCACACACATAACACACAAAGTATCAATACTCTTAAGCAAACTGAGGTACATACTATGCATTTTGCAAATGTCTATTTATTATAAGTATACAATAATTGAAAATACTGGAATGTTTTCTATTCAATTCTGAAAACTGCTTCTGCAAAAGCTAAGCTAGAGTTAAGTTTTTGCTTTCTTTTATTACGATTCTCTCCAGAAGTTTAGATTTACACACTCTTCAAGGTAGGCTTGAATTACCTAGCAGAAGATGTGGTAACTGTACAAAAATATTATGAATGTTGTGTTTCTATTTATGACAAAAATAAATGAGTATGTTTCAAGAATTTACTTCAAACAAAATATTAAAGCCACAAACTTTTCTTAAGGTTAAAAAAAAGAAAAAGAAAAACAAAACTTTTCAGTCATTCCAATCGAACCTCTAAGCTCATCTCCTTTCTACAATGCAGTCTCTAAAGTAAAGAAACAACTTATCTCTTCAATGAGCATGAAACAATGGCCTTAGGAGAGGGAGTGTTTATCAGACCTCTTAGAAACACAAGAAAGGGGTTGGTTGTTTTCTGAAGGCCTTTCTGGACCAAAGGGGTTTAGTAATATAAGACTTAGACTAACAGTGTAACTAAAACAAAAAGAACTACCTTTCAAACTGCCTCCCTTCAAAACATGAGATGCATATATTTTAGTAACCATAACCCCATCAAAGAGTATTGCCAGAAACAATTTTAAAACTCTACTATCCACCAACAGTAAATTGTGGTATACTTTTACAACTGGTTACTAACCAGCAAACTAACCAGAAGCAATAAGGATAAATTTTTAAGTGTTGAGTAAAGAATACCTGTTCCAATTCCCTTTATATAAAGTCCCATAACAAGCAGACTGTAAGGCGTGTGTTTGCATAAGACGATGATGAAACTATTAGGAAAAGCAAGGGAATGGCTAACATTGTCAAACTGGAAAATGAAGAGCATGTGATCCGTGAGGGACTAAATAACACCTGTTCTAATGGCCTCTACTTGTGGAGGACCTTAAAATCAAATTATTTTCAAACAAACTAAGGCAGAAGACAGAAAACAGAATCCAGAGACTTTCTTTGCCTGGTTATATTCTGGACTACAACAGTGATTCTTCTTTGGAAAGTTAAAAAAAAAAACAACAAACAAACCAGTTTTTGAAACTGCCATTAAATAATATCAAGGTTTAGGGTTGAAAGGAATATTGATTGATGTAATATTTATCTCCGTATCTCTTTCTCAATAATTAAGATGGAAGGATTTAATTCATTGCTCAACTAAAATCAAACAATTATGTTTTGTTCCTGAAGCAGAGTTAAATGCGATAACTTCCCTTTATACTAGCAAATAACCTCTTCTACTTTGAAATTACTGTGACTTTATTTCCTGAAAGTGAACAAAATGTACTCGAAATCCTGAAAACTAGAATAAATTTAAAACGACGAATATCGTGACACGCAGAACTGCGATGGGGGGGGGTAGTAAGAAAACACAGAACACTGTCACTTGTGCAAACTTTTCTTAAAGTCTAAATCCTTGACTGCAGGATATTTACAAATACATATTTATTTACATATACTTCGGCGTTCTTAGGTATCAAGTGCACAACAGCCGCCTATTTGAGACTTAAAAAGCTGTTCAAACAAAGGCCCTGCCTTTCCTCTAAACAAAGCTCTAAAAGAAATTCTGAGATTTCCATGCAAAAACCTCCATCTCTGCCTTCCCCTGCCTCCCAGGCTATAAAGAGACTGAGGAAACCAGAGGGTCAGGAAAAGCCAGGTCGAGCTTCCAAGTGCCTCGGCTTCCCTCCACAGTGTCTCCAAGCCAAACAGTCTCCCAACAACCCAGCTGAGGCAGGAAGCGAAGCGGTCACCATAGGAACTGGGCTCCGATCCTCAGCTCCCCAGAAACTGGAGTAAGGTTTGCTCCTGGAAGCCGTCCCACCCGGCATGCCCACCCCGGGGGCCGCCGTCAGACCCCAACACCTCTCCCCACCCTCTTGCAGCCGCCCCGGAGTGGCTCTCCTCGAGCCCGGCGCACCTCCGTGCCTTCTACCTGGAGCTCTGGAGCCCTCCCCCGGCCTCCCGGGCCATCGTCCTCCCCGGAGCTCATCCCGGCTACTGACGGGCCTCCCGCCGTGCGGGAGATCCAGGCCCGGCCCCCCGGCCTCCATCCCCCGCCCCTGTCTCCTCCTTCCCATCCCGTGGGCCCCGCCCCGGCGGAGGCGGAGACTCGGTAGGTCGCAGCGGGAAGAGGGCGGGAGCGGTTAGCTCCCCGGCTGGCCGACGCCCCGCCCGCACGCTCTGTACCTGAAGGGGGCTCTCCTTCCACCTCCCCGGCGCCTCCGCTCCACTTCCGTCCGGCGCGCCCCCAGCCCCCGTGCGCACGCGTACCTGGCTCGACACGCCCTCTCGCGGGGGACTACCACCAATCGTGCGCGCGCACCCGAGCACGTAGCGACGTGGCCAGCCGCCGGCCCGCCTGTCCGGGCTGCGACCAGAGAGGCCTTTTCCTGGCCCATCCGCGCCGCGCAGGCGCACGCCCACGCAGCGCCTAGATGGCCGACCCGAGCGTCCTGTCTCCTAGTAACCATCCTCCAGCCGGCGCCTTCACCGAAGCCGCCAGACGGCGCATGCGCGGTGGCCGCCGCCCCCTCCGCGCTAGAACACACCTGATGCTTCGAGGCTCCCAGCCGGTCCCTGGAGCCCGAGGTGTTCCTGGCAGAGGGAAACGGTTACTTCCTAGCAGCTGCTCCGGTGCGCAGCTCCTGCCACACGGTCAGGAGGCTGTTCCGTGTTAGCCTTCAGGTGGGGTTCCCTGTGGCAGCCTCCCGGAGGGCGCTGGTCTGTCCTGGTGAGCGTGGCAGCTCAGGGCCACCCCTCGGCCTGGCGTCTGCCCACCCAGTCAAGATGGAACTGGGAAGTGCCAGACCCAGCAATAAAACTCACACTCCAGGCTGGCGTTTCTTCTTCTTCTTCTGCCAGCCCTCCTCCAAGTTTCCCTCTTTAGGAAGACAAGAAAGGATATATAAAACCTCGCGAGATGTTAAATACTGTCCCTTAAGTTTTCACCCCAAGTTTGGCTTCTATCAGTGGGCAGACTTCGGCCTTCTTTTGGCTTTACCGGTGTGGTAATTGTGGCTGTCCAGCTGCGTTAAAATTGCATCTTGAAATCAAAAAGTGGGAAGAAATGAGCGCTGGTGTATGCTGCCGATTTTTAAAGTTTAGCGTCTATCCTGCTAACTCAGAAGCTTGCTTTACTCCCTCTGTTTTTACTTACATGTATTAGAATACAAAGGAAATGGGTTTCATTGCGGCATGTGTTCCTGCTGATCCTTCTGCCCTTTTTCTCCCCATCCCCTCCCCGACTTTTTTTGCCTTTCTACCCCAGTGGTCCCTTGCCCATCTGCCCTCACGTCGCAAGTGTTCTCTGACTCCCTAAACCACTTTCTTGTTCCTCACCTTGCAGTTTCATGACTTATACCCGCACTCACACCCTTCAATACCCCCTACTTATGTATCTAAAGCTGGCCTCTGCATGCAAGAAAGAGCATGTGGTATCCGACTTTGCAAGTCTGGGTTATCTCATTTAAAATAACTTCCAAATCCATCTATTTTCCTGCCAATTGCATGACTTCATTTTTCTTTATAATTAAGTGAAATTCTATTGTATATGTATCGTGTTTCCCATATTGACTTATCTCTTCGGGACATCTAGGGTGGATCCATTCCCTGGCTATTGTGAATAGAACAGCCGGAAACATGGATGTGCAGGTGTCCCTGTGGTTGGATATGGAGACCTTTGGGCATGTGCCGGAAGCAGTGTAGCTGAGTCCTAAGACTCTGGTTTTAGGTTTTTTGAGAAGTCTTCACACTGATTTCCAGGGTGTTGAGTTTGCACTCCCACCAACACTCTATGGGAACTCCCCTTCTCCACATCCTTGCCATACATTGTTTCCTCGATAATAGCTAGCTATTCTGATTGGGGTGAGGTAGACTCTCAAAGTAGTTTTAATTTGCATTTCTCTGACGCTGTTGAACACTTTTTAAAACATCTGTTAGTCATGTATGTTTTTTTCTTTTGAGAATGGCCCATTTCATTAGCCCGTTTATTGATGGACATCTTTATCTTTTGGGGGTTTAATTTTTTTCAGGTCTTTGTAAAGTTTAGGTTTAATTTTTTTAATTATTATTTTATGTGTACTGGTGTTTTGTCTGCATGTATGTCTGTGCACCACATACATGCCTAGTGCGTACAGAGGCCAGAAGAGGGAGTTGGATCTCCTGGAACTGGAGTTACAGGTGGTTGTGAACCACCGTGTGGATACTAGGAATTGAATCAGTGTTCTCTGGAAGAGCAGCTACTGATCTTTACCACTGAGCCATCTCTCCAGGCTGTAAATTTTAGCTTTTAGCCTGCTGTCTGAAGTACAGCTAGCAAATATTGCACACACACATACACACACACTGTAGTGACCATGCCTATTCACTAGGCTGCTAATTTCCTTTCTTTACTGTTCAGAAACTTTTAAAATTTACATGATGAATCTGAGAGTATCTGTGATCCCATCTTCCTGTCTTTTTCTACAAATAACTGTATAAGATTTTTGCATCTGTCTTCTGATGCTATAGTTTAAACTTGTGCTTTTGGAAAGTAAAGTCATGTTGGAGGAGACATAAGAATTATTTTGCCAGGTGGTGGTGGTGACACCTTTAATCCCAGCACTCAGGAGACAGAGCCAGGCGGATCTCTGTGAGTTCAAGGCCAGCCTGGTCTACAGAGTGAGTTCCAGGACAGGCTCCAAAGCTACACAGAGAAACCCTGTCTTAAAAAAAAAAAAAATTGTTTCTCCTACATGAGTACTCAGGAATCACAAGCAAGCAAATTTGTTAATTTTTTTCAGGGAAGTGCACTTAAATATAACTGTCTTATTTTTCAGTATCTATATTTTTCATAAAGTATTTTTGTCTTTACTTAATATATTTATACCATTTATTTTTATAAATTATTATTTATTCTTTGTAAGCATAATAGATGTTATAAAATTAATTTTAGTGTCCTAATTATTTTAGATAAAATGGACAGAAGACCCTAGGGAGCATGTTTTTTTCTGAAATAATAGTAATTGGTTAAAAAATAAATAAAAGTAATGTAGAAGCATGGGCTCTCAAAGACCATCCTGAAAAGTTGGGGGGGGGGATAATATGTAATCTGTAAATTGAATTCAAGAATCTGGAATAGGATTATTGAAAACAAATAAGAAAGAATGTACCAATTTCAAAACTTACCAGTTGAGCTGGGAGTGCATCTCAGTGATAGAACACACACTTAAGGAGAGCCTGCTTCGATCCTCTCATACAACTCTTGTTCGGAGCTGAAGATTTGAGGACAAGAATGAAGATTATTAATAGTAGACAGAGGTAGAAGCATAATTCCCCAGGTGCCACAGTTTGCATTCTATTGCTATGATAAACACTGTGACCAAAAGCAACCTGGAAAGGAAAGGGCTTCTTTGGCTTATACATCCTGATCACAGTCAAGCATGAGGGGAAGTCAAGGCAGGAACTCAAACAGGAGCAGAGGCAGGAACCTTAGCCACCTACTGGCTTGCTCAGCCCACTTTCTTATACAACTCAGAACTATCTGCCCAGAAATGGCACCGCCACAGCAGACTGGGCCCTCCCACATTCATCTTTAATCGAGGAAATGCCCCCACAGGCTCACCTACAGGCTCGTCTGTTACAGGCAGTTCCACAATCAAGATTCCCTTCCTTCCAGAGAGTTTCCATTCTTTCCATTGGTCATGCTAACCTCAGCCACAACTCTTTTCAACTGAAAACTGTTTTCTGGTGCCAAGATTTGTGTGCATGTTTGTGATCCTGGCACTTGGGAGGTAGAAGCAGATGGGTAAGGAATTAAAGCCAGTATTACCTCCAGTGAGTTCAAGGCCAGCCTGGGCTACATGAGATCCAGTTTCAAAAAATAAAAATGTATGGAGCTGGAAAGGGTGGACCAGTGGTTAAGAACACTGGCTGCTTCTAGAGGACCCAGGTTCAATTCCCACCATCCACAAGGTGACTCATAACCATCTGTAACTCCAGTTCCAGGATGTGATGTCCTCTTTTGGTCCCCACAGGCACTATAGGCACATGGTGCACACATAAATGCAGGCACAACACCCATACACATAAAAACAAATTTCTACAATAAAGTTATATTTTCATTGTTGAAAGTTTGATTT